GGCTCCCCTGAAGCATCTGGCCTGATGGCTGCTGCAATGTCCTAAATCCTTGGGAGCCGCATTAAATCAATCATAAAAATTTGAGATGTAGAGAGGTATTGATTTCAGCTGAGAGTCACCCCTAGGAAAGCTTATTCTGCAATTCTGTAAAACCTTCATGAACTTTTAGGGCTCAGCACCTAATCTCCGTAAGCTAAATAGCATCACATTTCACTGTTTCACTTGGCTCAAAAGTCAGTACCAAGAAATCAAAAATGGCTTGATGGCATTTAATGAGTGGAAACATCTTGCAAGTGCCTTAGGTAGATATCATTAGATAGATATCAGGAGATGGCGATCATTTAGGCAACATCTGTGCCTGAAAATCCCATAATACAATAGGGGGTGCCTGTGGTTGAGTTTAAGGAGTTAAAACCATAGAATACTGTATTGCTAGAAAGGCTATGAGAAGAGAAGCACAGAGGAATTTCCTCTACCAGATCACTCAATGAGAGGAAAATGGAGTGCAGAGCGGCTTTTGTGCTCTTCCCACGGTCGAAGCAGCAGCTGGAAGGTGAGTTGAAGGCAAGTGGGAGGAGAGTCCGGGAGCAAGTCGGGTTGTTCGGTTCCCTCCACGGCCTGGAAGCAGAGAAGCAACTGGGCTGAAGCCTCTCAGCTGCTGCTGCTGCTGGTTCCTTCCCTCCCCAAATGGAAGCCCACTGGTGCTGCAGGCTGGGAAACTGGTGGCTGCAAGTTTTTGCTGGTGGGAAGATTGAAAAAGTCTCCTTCAAATTAAGGTTGATTCTTTGGGAATGGCTTCCCTCCAGAGGTTGTGGCTGCTCCCATCACTGGAGGTTTGTAACAGGGTTGGAAAGAACCTTGCAGGTCTTCTAGTCCAACTCCCTGCTCAAACAGGAGTCCCAACACCATTTCAGACAAATGGCTGTCCAGTCTTTTCTTAAAACCTTCCAGTGATGGAGCCCCCACAATCTCTGGAGGCTGGTTAATTATTCTCGCTGTTAGGAGGTTTCTCCTTAGTTCTAGGTTGCTTTTCTCCTTGATTAGTTTCCATCCACTGCTTTTTGTCTTGCCTTCCTCTCTTCTTTGTGGCAAATCCTCAAGTATTGGAACGCTGCTATTATGTCATCCCTAGTTCTTCTTTTCACTAAACTAGACATAGCCAATTCTTACAACCATTCTTTATATGTCTTGGCCTCCAGACCCCTAATAATCTTTGTTGCTTTTTTTCTGAACTCTTTCCAGAGTCTCAACATTTGTTTATAATCTAGTGACCAAACCTGGATGCAGTATTCTAAGTGAGGTCTTATTCTTTATAAAATGGAACTACTACTTTTTATTTATTTATTTATTTATTTATTTTAATTTGATTTATATGCCGCCCTTCTCCGGAGACTCGGGGCGGCTTACAGTGCATTCAGCAATAGCCTTCATACTTTTGTATATTTATACAAAGTCAGCTTATTGCCCCCACAAACTGGGTCCTCATTTAACTTACCTTAGAAAGGATGGAAGGCTGAGTCAACCTTGAGCCTTGGAGAGATTCGAACCAGCAGTAAATTGCAGGCAGCTGTGTTAATAACAGGGTGCTTTAAACCACTGTAGTACCAAGGCTACTTCATGTGATCTTGAGTCTATCCTTCTGTTAATGCAGCCTAGGATTCCCTCATCTAAATTGAAGAGTCCTGGGCCTAAAACCGAAACTTGGGGTACTCCACTAATTACTTCCCCCCATATAGATGTAGTTCCTTTAAGGAATACACTTTGACGTCGGTTTGTCAGACAGTTATGAATCTATCTGTGTGGATGGATGTGTCTGTCCCACATCTTCTAGGTTATGGATGACTTTATCAAATGCTTACTGAAATCCAAATATAACATATCCACGGGATTTCGCTGGTCCACTAATTTAGTTACTTTGTCAAAGAATGAAATAAAATTGTTTGGCATGATCTGTTTTTGACAAACTCATGTTGGTTTCTGGTTATAACTTTGCTTGTTTCTAGGTATTTACAAATCTGTTGTTTGGTTATCTTTTCCACAATCTTCCAAATATTGATGTCAGGCTGATTGGTCTGTAGTTTTGTGGTTCTCAAACCCCCCCCCCCCAATTTTTATTTTTATTTTTTGAACATGGAAACTACATCAGCACTTTTCCAGTCCACTGGAATTTTCCTGGTATTCAAATGTTTTTGAAAGGTATGATTCAATGGTTCTGAGATCATGTCTGCCAGCTCCTTCAGAACTGGGATGTAATCAATCTGGTCCTAGTGGTTAGAACTTGTCTAGAGTGGACAGTTATTGAGAACCATTTGGGAATATTCAGTTGTATATGCAGTCCTCACTTACCACTTCTTCCCTGAGCCTTCAAAGTTACTATGGCCCCGTAAAAGAAGACGTAAACCTGATCCATTAATTTGTGGTCATTGTAGCACTTGTTCATTGACCACAAGTCAGCAGTTCCTGTGGGTAGGAACGTGCAAGAAAAGGAGTTGCACCAATTTGTGTTCTGCCAACTGGTGCACATTTATGCTGGTCACTGCATCTGACACTCATATTCCCAATTTGTGACCTTCCCAGCTAGCTTCTGACAAGCAGAATCAGTGGGTATACTGGCAGGAAATTAAATGTCCCAGTCATATGAAATGGATGGGGAGGAATAGGCTCAAGCTCAGCCCTTCCAAGACTGAGTGGCTGTGGTTCCCGGCATCCCGATATAGTCAGTTTACTCCATCACTGACTATCGGGGGCGAGTCTTTGGCCCCCGCGGAAAGGGCGCGCAATCTGGGAGTCCTCCTGGATACGCAACTGTCCTTGGAGGAACATCTGACGGCTGTAGCCAGGGGGACCTTCTGTCAGGTTCGCCTGATTCGCCAGTTGCGGCCCTTTCTTGATTGAGATTCCCTGTGCACAGTCACTCATGCCCTCGTCACCTCTTGCCTGGACTACTGCAACACTCTCTACATGGGGCTCCCCTTGAAGAGCACCCGGAGGCTCCAACTGGTCCAGAATGCGGCTGTGCGGGTAGTCACGGGAGCCGCATGGCGCTCCCATACAACACCTCTCCTGCATGAGCCCAGTGGTCTTCTGGGTGCGCTTCAAGGTGTTGGTTATCACCTTTAAAGCGCTCCATGGCATAGAACCTAGTTATCTTCGAGATTGCCTGCTGCTACCGACGGCCTCCCATCGACCTGTGCGCTCCCACAGAGAGGGCCTCCTCGGGGTGCCATCAGCCAAACAATGTAGGCTGGTGACCCCCAGGGGGAGGGCCTTCTCTGTGGGGGCACCTACCCTCTGGAATCAGCTGCCCCCAGAGATAAGGAGAATCCAAGACCTCGGTGACTTCCGCCGTGCCCTTAAAACCTTCTTTTTCCAGCAAGCCGGGCTGGCCTAACACTTTTTAAAATGTTTTTAATTGTCTGTTATTGTTTTTAATCATGGGGCCAAATTTATATATATCTTTTTAATTGTATTTTAATGTTTATAGTTTATGTTTTTACTTGGCTGTTCACCGCCCTGAGTCCTCAGGGAGAAGGGCGGTATACAAATTTAAAAATAAATAAATAAATAAACAAATTGCCTTTAATTAGGCAATTAAAGTAATTTTAATTGTAATTTAAATAGTAATTAGCTTAATTACACAGTAATTAGCTTAAGAACTATAGAGGAACAGATGTAAGTTGGCACTGTCATGTGACATCATGCTTAGTGATTGGGCTGTTTAGTGACATGGATACCAGTTCCAATTGTGGCTGGTAAATTAGGACTGCTTAAATTGGGATGTCACCAGAGTGTTTGTGGACAGTGTTTTCTGGCCTTATTTGGAGCTGAGGACTTCCATGAGGAAAACTGGTACCTCAAATCTTGCATCATTTTATCAGTTAAAGCCCCCACATGTCTAAAGTTAGCTCAGGAGGTTTGACTGTAACCATTTTGGGACATTTGGTCAGACATAGATTTTCTCCAAAAGAGAAGAGGAGAGTTCAAGATTTTAAAACACAAAATAAAAAAAGCTCTATTTAACTAGGGAATTGTAATAATTGAGATACTATTAATTGTATATTGTGTTGAAAGCAGAAATGGTTAAGTTGTGGTTTGGAGGAATATATGGGGGAAATTATTTTGTTTATTATTATTGGTAAACATAATTGATTTGTAAGAAATTGGATTGCATGGAAATAATTGAAATATTTATGTTCATATTGATTAATATACAAAAAAAATAGTTATATAATTAATTGATTTATATTAAAACTGTTGAATTTGTATTAAACAACTGTACTATTACATAATAACCAATGTGAGGATGGATATAAAAATAGATGACAATGGGAAGGGGTATAATATAGAATAGATGGAAAAACTGAATTTGATTAAGATTAAAGATGAGGATGAAGGGTAATATTGGTTTTTTAAAAAAATAGATGAGGAATAAATATGGCAAAAAGGAAATATAGAAATTGTAAATTTAATTGAAATGACTAAACACTGTTTAAATTTGTGAACCAGCCAAACATTCTGTTCAAAGAAAATACATTGTATGTTTGTATGTGTGTTTGTCTAAAAAAAAAAAACTTTTTTTAAAAAAAAACAAAAACCAAAAAGGTAGGTGCGTCTTATACTCCGGTGCGTCTTATACTTCGAAAAATACGGTATATAATCTATACCCAGCAGTTCCAGATATATTTGATGATAACCCTTTGCAATGCTAAAAATTTGACCCAAATCAAGGAGAATTTCATGATTGATCAATGTAAGAAGTTATTCTAGCATTGTGACCTCTTTGTTTTTCTTTCTGTATACTTTTTTTCTTTTTCTCAAATCTTCTGCAACCATTTTATAATTAACAATACACTTTTCTTTGAATCCTATAGACAAAAGAGGATGGCAATAAGAACACTCTGGACAACTCAGAATAACAAGCAATGTTGAAAAGGAAAGCAAATGGACCCAGAAATCAAACTATTTTCCATTTCCTTCAGAAAACCACACAATTCTCCTTCCCCGGCAGCTGATAGACAAAAGAGAGAAAATCAAATTAGATTCTGAGCTGAAAAAAGTAGGTTATGTGGAAGGTTAAGGATACATTACATAAAAAGTCAAGGGAGATTATTTTTTTCATTCCGAAAAAGAGGGATATCTCTGGAAGTCAGTGGGGAGGAAAAGGTCCATTGGAAAGCCACGTAGAACAGACTGTGATACAGGCCTCGCTCTGGGAGGAAAAGAACAGCTTGAATCAAAGCAGCACTAAACAAGGGATCATCCATAGATTTGACCTACTCAGGAATATCAGTTGTGGAAAAACTCCATAGATGTGCCTATTGTGGGAAAGAGAGAACTTTAAAATCACAGCTGATTATGCATGAGAGGATCCAGACTGGAGAGAAGCCATACAAATCCTCTCAGTGGGACAAAACCTTTGGTCAAAATAGCTCTGTTGTGGTTCCTGGAAGGGCCCACACAAGAGAGAAGCCGTACAAGTACTCTCAATGCAGTAAATGCTTGAGGGAGTATGGCAACTTGGTGATACACCAGAAGACACACAGGAGACACAACCTTTTGAATGTCCTGATTGTGGGAAAAGTTTAAATAAAAATTTTGACCTCATTAGCCACCAGAGGACTCACACAGGAAAGAAAACATTTGGGTGTCCTGATTGTTGGAAAAGTTTCACTCAGAATTCCATCCTGGTGATAGAACAGATGACTCACACAGGAGAGAAACCCTTTGAATGCCCTATATGTGAGAAAAGTTTCAGTTGTAATTCGAATCTGGTGAAACACCAAAGGATTCACACAGGAGAAAAACCCTTTAAATGTCCCATCTGTGGCAAAAGTTTCAGTCGTAATTATGATCGGGTGATACACCAAAGGACTCATACCGGAGAAAAACCCTTTGAATGTCCTGTCTGTGGGAAACGTTTCTGTTGTAATTCTGACCTAATTAAACACCAGAGGACTCACACAGGTGAGAAACCCTTTGAATGTCCTGACTGTGGGAAAAGTTTCAGTCGTAATTTCAACCTCGTGAGACACCAGAGGACTCACACAGGAGAGAAAACCTTTGAATGTCCTGATTGTGGGAAAAATTTAAGTGATAATTCGAGCCTGGTGATACACCAGAGGACTCACACAGGTGAGAAACCCTTTGAATGTCCTGTCTGTGGCAAAAGTTTTAGTCAGAATTGCAACCTAGTGATACATCAGAGGACTCACACAGGAGAAAAACCATTTGAATGTCCCATCTGTGACAAAAGTTTCAGTCACTATTTCAGACTCGTGATACACCAGAGGATTCACACTGGAGAGAAACCCTTTGAATGCCCTATATGTGGGAAATGTTTCCGTTGTAATTCTGACCTAATTAAACACCAGAGGACTCACATAGGTGAGAAACCCTTTGAATGTCCTGACTGTGGGAAAAGTTTCAGTCGTAATTTCAACCTCATGAGACACCAGAGGACTCACACAGGAGAGAAACCCTTTGAATGTCCTGATTGTGGGAAAAATTTCAGTGATAATTCCAGCCTGGTGATACATCAGATGACTCATACAGGAGAGAAACCCTTTGAATGTCCTTTCTGTGGCAAAAGTTTCAGGCAGAATTCTGATCTGGTAATACACCTAAGGTCTCACACCGGAGAAAAACCCTTTGAATGTCCTGTCTGTGGCAAATGTTTCACTCGGAATTCCACCCTAGTGGTACACCAGAGGACTCACACAGGAGAGAAACCATTCAAATGTCCTGTCTGTGGGAAAAATTTTAGTGATAATTCCAGCCTGGTGAAACATCAGAGGACTCACACAGGAGAGAAACCCTTTGAATGTCCTAACTGTGGGAAAAGTTTCAGTCAGAATTCTGATCTGGTGATACACCAAAGGATTCACACCGGAGAAAAACCCTTTGAATGTCCTGTCTGTGGCAGACGTTTCAGTCGGAATTCCAACCTAGTGGTACATCAGAGGACTCACACAGGAGAGAAATCTTTCAAATGTTCAATCTGTGGATGTTATTTCAGGCATAAATCATCCCTTATTGCACACAAGGAAATCCATATGAGGCAAAAGTAGATATGTTTAAAGAACGCTTGAATTTCATTGCAATCTCCCATTGAAATTGTCGGTGAGAAATTGACTATTTGAATTCTGACCTGATTCTTTTTACTCAAACATGTCTCAGGATTATACTTGTAGGTGGGAGGAAAAGGAAAGGGGAAAGGGTAACTAATTGTTTCTGGTTTTCAGCAGCAGTTTCTGGATATTTCATTTTTGCAGAAGTAGTGGAATGCCTGAAAAAGACATTTGGGTGATGTGTTTGTATATTGATTATGGAATTCCCACATCTGGAGTTTCGTCTTCTACCTTAGTTTCCTCCAGATTTGGGGCCTCAGAATTCCCCAACGAGCATAAAAGTTGTACTCAAGATACAACTATTATGGACCTTGCAATTATGGTTGTGTGTTATAACGGCCATTAAGTGAGACTGCTTTAGTTAACTACCTGCATCCCCCTGCTCTCCCTGATGCAGCCATTAATTGAATGTTAAGTTGCTAAGCGGAACACTGGCTACCTTAGGCCTGAGGAAAACTCTTGGAGGCCTAGAGCAGGGCCTGTCTTACCTGTCGCAGGCATCCCTCGGCCTTCCTCCAAGACACCCTGTGCTCTGTTTCTCAACCCTTGTGTCGCCTCGGCCCTTCCCTCCTCTACACAGTCCCCCCAGTCCTTTCGCTCTCCCCCTCCCACACAGGATCCCCACAGGTTTTTTTCACACTCCTACTGGGAGTGTCCTTATGGTGGACTCCCACCCCACTAGGCCTCACACCCTCCACCTCCTTACCTCTGATCCTCATGTTGGGGAAGGGGAGGGACCCGCATCCCTGGCCCTCATGACTGTGTCCTGGAAGCAGTGATCATTTTCAGTGGGCTCTGAATTTGTTCCTGGGCCATGCAGTGGACTTGTGGAAGCGGCTGATATTTTGCCACACTGTTGCGCAGAAGAGTGACAACAAATTTCTCTGTTTTGCTACCTTAACATGAGGGGAAAAAATGTACAGTATTGAAAAATGATTCTTTTTAAAAATGCATTAAGTCAGAATTATCAGTAGCTTTGACAAGGGGAAAAAATGGGTATTGTCGCTGTTGCTATGACCGTTACGGTAAGGCAAGTTGCTCGGAGTTGCCTCAAACTGTGAATTGGGTAGCAATTAATAATTTAATAATAGTTTAATAATAAATTAATTTAATAATAAATGTAAAGTAATGTAAAGCCCATTTCCCAACTCTTGCTCAGTGATAAGGACTCCACACATAGTGGATTTCTAACACAATTGTTAATTTGTAACCTATCCTTTGTGCATTCCACATCTCTATGACCAATCTGTCTTCCTCAGCTTCCCTTGCCTCTTCATTATAAATCGATAATTTGTTTCAGTCGTACATCAGCCTAGCCACTCTGTGCCTCTGATGATGGGAGCTGCAATTAGGCTTTTGCCTCTTAATTTATTTGTTGCATTGCTATCTGTCCCAGTCCTAAATTCTATGAAAGAATGACATTTCATTAGGCACAGTTAAAAAATTTGAGTGGCTAAACTGAATCTGTTTTGATTGGCATTCTTCTCAGATTCAAGGATGGTCTTTCTCCATCAGTGCCAGTCTGAGCGATGGACAGTAGGACATTTGAAACTGGACAACTAAGCTATGCTTTTCCTTTTAACTTTACAACCGCTAAAGCAGTGATTGGTTGCACCATTGGATTTGTAGGATTTTGAAAATCATAGAATTAGAGGATCAATCTGACTTCCCTAATGATTCTCTGAATTCTGAACCAGATTCATCATATAACTTGAGGTCACCATAGATGGAGACAATGAGTAGACACAAATGTTTCAGAAAGTCTAGGGATGAATTTCTATAACATAAGAAGAACTTGGCTGAGCAATTTGAAAGCTGGTCGTGAGTGTGGCACTTGGGGTATTTGAAGGTGCCTGTGCCCTCTTTTTGGTTCTTCTGGGCTCTGGACTCCCTGGTTTTATTCCTTCTTTTAAAAGATTGAGAATTTCACAAGTTATTCCCAAGCTAGAGCTTCAGCCAGAATGGGTTTGTTGAAAACAGATCATGCCAGAGAAACATCATTGCCATTTTTTATAAAGTAACTAAACTAGTGAATTTGTAAAATGTTGTGGAGATAATATACTTGGACGTCAGCAAGACATTTGACAAAGTAGACAACAACTTAACTTCTTGGTAAGATAGAACAATGTGGGATAGAGAGAAACAGCACCAGGTGGATTCACAATTGACTGACAAACTGCACTCAGTTGATAGTCCTCAATGAACTACATCTACATGGAGAGAAGCATGCAGTGGGGTACCTCAAGGTTTAGTCTTGGGCCCAATACTCTTCAACATTTACTCGTTTAGTAACCATTTCAGGTTATGATGGTATAAACAATTTTTTTTTGGCTAACAATGAGAATGGAGATTCATTCTTTGAGCTTGTAGGTTGGTTTCTGAACGTTTCGTTATCAGCCTGCTGTGGTCAGTAGGCCTTGTGATGGGAGGGTCATTTCAGGTGAGGGTCTAGTGATATGGCTTGTATCCTGTAAATTTGGATAAAAATTTCTTTAGGAAATTGGATCAGGCAATAAGCAAATTTATTTGGGAAGGGAAAAAACCACAAATTAAAAGAAAAATGCTACAGGAACACAAAACGAGAGGCGGCTTGGGGCTCCCAAATTGGGAGTTATATTACCAAGCCTCGTCCCTTCTCTGGATAAGAGCCTGGGTATCCCTCTCGAGAAAACGCATATTAACGCTTGAGGGATTTGATCTTCACCAAGGCTGGCATTCAGCTTTGTGGGCACAACAAGGAAAACAATCTAAATATTTTACTAACCACTATATTAGAAAAAATTTAATAAAAGTATGGGAAAAGGTGAAGAAACAAACTTATACCCAAGTTCCTAAATGGGTTGTCCCATTGGAGATGGCAACTTACCCGACTGTTTACAATATAAAAAGAAATTGGACCTACAATATCTTGATGGATGGAGGAGGGAACTTAATATCAAGAAAGAAACTTCAATTAAAAGGAATAGATATAGATTGGTGGTCATATGCCCAAATTCAAGCTAGATTCTGTAAAGATAAACAAGAGTATGGTATTTACCAAACAACACAACCGCTGGATAGACTTCTTCTGGGTGTTGAAACAAAATTCATATCTAAGACCTATAATCTTTTGCTATCAAGGTATGTAGCTGAGGAGATAGTAAAAGATACGATGATTGCCTGGGGGAGAAACTTAGGAAGACTGATGCAACTTGAAGAATGGCAGGGAATATGGAATAGATCAATGAAATTGACACTATCAGCGGTATTCAAGGAGAATTTCTACAAAATGATTTATAGGTGGTACCTTCCACCAGCTAGGATAGCTAAAATGTTCCCTGGATTCTCGAACAAATGTTGGAAGTGTAATTCGGCCAGGGGCACTTTTTTTCACCAGTGGTGGACCTGCCCTCAGATCAGGAAATTTTGGGAAAAGATTCAAAAATGATTGAACGAGATAACAGGTGCAAATTTCCCCCTAATTCCAGATTCTTACTTACTCGGAATCAAATTAAAAGACGTGGGCAAGTTATTTATTTATTTATTTAGCGTATGGCTGGTCACACACAATATTAAAACACTTCATTTTTACAGGTTAAAACAAAACAATTAAAAAAAAGCAGTAAGAAAACCTAAGAGGAAAACAGAAATAACATTTCAGAGTTTAATGTTGAGTTTGGAGAGCCAGTCAGTAGCTGTCGTTGTTACGCAGAGGAAGTCCCTAAAATCTCCTGGATACCTTCTGTTAGAGCATTCCCTCACTATATGTTGGATAGTCTTGTCGGGGGGCCCCGCAGTCACATTGTGCTGAAGGCAAGCAAGATTGGCACCTATTCATCCATATTACAACAGCAGCGAGAATGGCACTTGAATGGAAAAATGCAAATACACCATCAGATCAACTTATAATAAATAAGAGATTGAATTGTGCCGAATTGGACAAATTAACATATATCTCTTCAGCTTTGTCTTAATGGAGACTTCTGTGCAAGACAATTTATAGAAGCACATGGCAATTGGCAGACTTAAACTTTCTTCCTTCAGAAATGAAACAAACACTGGGCATGCTTGGACACAGCCCTAGCTAGTATGAATGAAGCTCGCTTCCTTGGGCCCTCTGACCTGTTGATGCTCCCAGGTCCTAAATCCTTGGAGCTGCAAGAAATCAGTCATAAAAGTTTAAGATGTAGAGAGGTTTTGATCTCCACTGAGACTCATATCCTTACAAAAATGCAGGAATATTTAGATCAGCTTCCAAATGCAAACTAACAGCTTCCAAATATTCTGCTCAGGAATAATCAAGGCTAAATTCTTACTTTGGAAATTGGGAAGACTGCTCCAGCAAGATTCACTCTCCAATATTACAGATGGGGAATTAATGTTGCATGTTCCATTAGTTTATTAATGGAATCAAGCTAGCAAGCTGGCAATAATTTAGGGAGTCTACACACAAATAAGTGCTTCATGAGCTTTTAAGGCCTAGAATCTAGTTAATTTTAAAAAGCTAAGCAGGATCAAACTTCCAATTTTCAACTTTCTGTCTCTTGCAAAACTAAGTATTAATGAATTACCCCGCACTCCCCAAGACAAATAACTGGCTGAAACAGTCTTCACCAATCCTTAAAGGAGGTGCGATTTGACTGCTGTATGCATATAGCATAGGTGGCTCAGTGGCTAGGACACTGAGCTTGTCGATCAGAAAGGTCGGCAGTTCAGCGATTCAAATCCCTTGCATAGGTTTTCTGTGTGATCAGGGGGTTGGGCTAGATGACCTCCAATGTCCCTTTCAACTCTGTTACTGTTAAATAGTTCCCCCCTTCTTCCCCTCTTGGTATAGTTCTCCCTTCTTTGATGGGAAGCTTTTTGCTCTATTTCTGTGGTGATGAGTGAATCCTCGTGAGGCCTGGATGAACAAATTAGGGATAATCATCATGGAGAAAGTCTATCGATGGGATCACTGGAGTTGAAAACAACTTGACGGTGCATAATCAATTTAAAAATCTTGCAACTGCCTTAGGCAGAGATGAACAATGTAATTTTCAGCTTTATATCACTAGATGGCGCACTAAGGAAATTTTGGAATATGCTGAAATGAGTAAATTGACATTTGAAATTAGGGAACAGGAAGACAATATTATTTCATATGGGATTTATTTTATCAATGGTTAGACAAGAAAGCATAGAAATGAAATATGAAACATGAAATGGATAAAATCATAAAACATATAAAGAGGGTTCATTTTCCTTATGGAGGATAAGCTACTGTCAAATAATTGGTAAATGAGAATAATAATGTAATAAACTGTTAAATAAGAAAATGTTGGATAGAGGATTAAGCACAAAAGATTTGTAACCGATCAATACGCTTTCTGTAATTGTAATGGATGATAATTGTTTTATGTTTTAAGTTTTGTTTAAAAATAAAAAACTTTTTTCAAAAAAAAACCCAAACTAGATGGCGCACCGTAGATAAGCAACACCAGCACTAGACAACTGTAGAGTACAGCGGAATGTAGGTAAAGGAGGCGAAAGGAGTTTAAACATTGTCTATGGAGATTCTCACTCATCCAGGTCATGGTTGTCCCAAAGGTGCTTTTTCAGGAGGCAGCTGGACTTTCTGGTTTTTCTTTGAAGGTGTTTAGTTTCTCATACAAGAAGCTTCTTCAGCTCTGTCATGGAAGATTTATACTCCTTGCAGACAGCTAGTCATTTGCATTCTTTTAGCAAGTTGATAAGAGCCTTATCACCAAGAGCCTTGGTGGCACAGCAGACTGAAGTGCTGTTAGGTAGCACCAGCTGCCTGCAATTACTGCAAGTTCAAATCTCACCAGTCTCAAGGTTGACTCAGCTTTCCATCCTTTCGAGGTAGGTAAAATGAGGACCCGGATTGTGGGGGCAATAAGCTGACTTTGTATAAAAAAGAACACCGTGGGGGGGGGGGCAAAAGCCCTACTAAGCAGGTATATGCAAAAAGTATGAAGGCTATTGTTTAACGCATTGTAAGCCGCCCTGACTCGCCGGAGAAGGGCGGCATATAAATCGAACCAATAAATAAATAAATAAATAAATAAATAAATAAATAAATAAATAAATAAATAAATAAATAAATAAATAAATAAATAAATAAATAAATAAATAAATAAATAAATAAATAAATAAATAAATAAATAAATAAATAAATAAATAAATAAATAAATAAATAAGGTCCCCTGGAGGTTTATCTGTGTCATCTGAATGGTGCAAATGGCTGTGTAGCCTTTTTGAAACTATTGAAAAAACTGTGTTCTAGATTGAAGATAGATGATGCTGTATCCCACCCCCTCTGTTGAAAGAAGGCTGTTAAATTTTGACATCAATGGCCTCTTTCACTCCTTTCAAATCAGCAATCCTCTCTGTCCAAAATATGGACTTTGCTGTCTTCAAAAGAGTGGCCTTTGTCTTTTAAATGCAGGTGGACTGCTGAATCTAGTCCTGTTGGGTTTGTTCTCCTATGTTGTGCCATGCGTTTATGAAGTGGTTGTTTTGTTTCCCCAATGTATAGATCTGCACTTGGCTCACTGCATTGTACTGCATACTGTATACCACGTTGCTCAGTTTGTGTCTGGGTGTTTTATCCTTGGGGTGGACAAACTTCTGCCTTAGTGTTTTCTTGGGTTTGAAGTGTCACATTTCACTAGGCTCAGTTGCAAAGGTCGGTTGCTAGAAGTAAAAAAATGACTTGATAGCATTTAATCAGTGAAAAAATCTTGAAAGGCCTTAGATAGAGACGGGACAAGCCTGTTTTTCTGCCTCCTATATGGAGATAGCGATCAGGTAGGCAACATCTGTGCCTGAAAACTATATAATAAAGGAGTTAAAATCATCAAGTACTGCATTGCTAGAAAGGCTGGGAGGAGAGGAGACGCGCAGAGGAACTTCCTCTTCCGGATGGCTGATGGGAGGAAGTTGGTGTGCAGAGCGGCTTTTGTGCTCTTCCCAGGGTCGAAGCAGCAGCTGGCAGGTGAGTGGAGGGCAGCAGGTGGGAGGAGAGTCCGGGAGCAACTTGGGCTGGAAGCGGAGAAGCAACTGGGCTGAAGCCTCTCAGCTGCGGCTGCTGCAGGTTCCTTCCCTCCCCAAATGGAAGCCCACTGGTGCTGCAGGCTGGGAAACTGGGGGCTGCAATTTCTGCTGGTGGGGAGCTTGAAAAAGCCTCCTTCCAATGCAGGTTGAGCCTTTGGGGCTGGTTTCCCTCCAGAGGTTGTGGCTGCTCCGTCCCTGGAGGGTTTGTAACAGGGCTGGAAGGGACCTTGCAGGTCTTCTATTCCAACCCCCTGATCAAGCAGGAGATCCAATACCATTTCAGACAAATAGCTGTCCAATCTCTGTTTAAAAGCCTCCAGTGATGGATCCCCTACAACTTCTGAAGGCAAACTGTTCCACTTGTTAATTGCTCTTAGTCTCCTTAGCTCTAGGCTGCTTCTCTCCTTGATTAGTTTCCATCCAGTTTCTTGTCCTGCCTTCAGGGGCTTTGGAGAATAAGTTGACCCTCTATTCTTGGTGCAACTCCTCAAGTATTGGAAGATGGCTATCATATCACCCCTATTCCTCCCTTTCACTAGACTAGACATACCCAATTCCTGCAACTGTTCTTTATATGTTTTAGCCGCCAGCCCCCTAATCATCCGTACTGCTCATCTCAGAGCTCTTTATAGTGTCTGTCAATTCTTTTTTTTATATTGTGGCGATTTATTATTTATTGGTTCAATTTATATGCTGCCCTTCTCCGGAGACTCAGGGCGGTTTACAATGTGTTAAGCAATAGCCTTCTTACTTTTGTATATGCCTGCTTAGTAGGGCTTTTGCCCCCCCCCCCAAGCGGTGTTCTTTTTTATACAAAGTCAGCTTATTGCCCCCCCCCAATCCGGGTCCTCATTTTACCTACCTCGGAAGGATGGAAGGCTGAGTCAACCTTGATCAAAACTGGATGCAGTATTCCAAGTGTGATGTTAATCAAAGCATTATAAATTGGTACTAACACTTCATGTGATCTTGATTCTATCCCTCTATTTAGGCAGCCTAAGATTGCATTGGCTTTTTTGGCGCTGCATCATGGTATTGGCTCATATTTAGGTGATTTTCCACTGGGACAATCTCATGAGATCCATCTCACAATTACTGCTATTGAGCCAGGTTGTACCTATGCTGTACCTTGACATTTGCTTTTTTGTGGCTAAGTGTAAAACCTATTTTTTTTCTCCATTGAATTTCATTTTGTTGGATAGGGCCCAGTATTACTCAGCATCTGGTTAAATCATCCTTTCCCAACTATTCCTTGTGAGGAGGGTGGAGCTGCTTCCTCTCAAGCAGCCTTGCTGACCATCTCTGTGCCTCTCTCCACTCTGCTCTCCTCACCTGTGGATTGAGCAGGAGGCAGCTCTTAATCAGAGGTGGTCTGGAGACTGTCATCTCTGCTGGCCCTCTGTAGCTGCTCTGCTTGTTTTTTTTTTTACTTCCATGTCTTGCCAATAACCATGATGTTTCCTATTGGTGCTACATCCAGGTATTAACCAAGTTCAATTGTGCTTAAAAAATAGCTATTGAGGACCTTTTGGGATGTTCAGTTTTATAGGTAGTCCTCACCTCAGGTTCCCTGAGCCTTCAAAGTTACAATAGCACTGTAAAAGAAGACGTACACCTGGTCCACAAATCAGTGGTCATCATAGCACTTGTTCATTGACCACAAGTCAGCAATTCCTGTGGCTATGAAGGTGCAAGAAAAGGAGATGAAACCAATTTTTTTTTAAATTTGATTTATATGCCGCCCTTTTCCGGAGACTCAGGGCGACTTACAATGCATTAAGCAATAATGCAGAATTTGGGTTCTGCCAACCAGTGCACATATATGATTGCCGCTGTATCCCATACTCATGATCCCCATTTGTGACCTTCCCAGCTAGCTTCTGACAGGCAAATCAGTGGAGATGCCAGCAAGAATTCATAAGTCACGGTCATGTGAAATTGCCTTTAATAACCCACAGTGATTTGCTTAACAACTGCAGTGGAACAGATTTAAGTTGGCGCTGTGATGTGATATCATGCTCATGATCGGACTGCTTAGTGACCAGGTACCAGTCCCAATTGTGGTCAGTAAGTGAAGTCTGCTTGAATCGGGATGTCACCAGAGGGGTTGTGGGCAGTTTTTTCTGCCCATATTTGGATCTGAGGACTTCCATAAGCAAAACGGGTGCTTCAAATCTTGCAGAGACCTCATTTCATCAATTAAAGCCCCAGGTTTCTAAAATTAGCTCAGAAAGTTTGACTGTAACCAGTTTGGGATATTTTTCAGGCTTGAAAAATTTATATTTGATGTATATTATTAATTATTATTAATTATTTTTTTTATTATTAATTTGATTTATATGCCACCCTTCTCCGGAGACTCAGGGCGGTTTACAGTGCATTAAGCAATAGCCTTCATACTTTTGTATATTTTATACAAAGTCAGCTTATTGCCCCCACAAACTGGGTCCTCAATTTACCTACCTTAGAAAGGATGGAAGGCTGAGTCAACCTTGAGCCTGGTGAGATTCAAACTTACTTTAATTGAAGACAGCTGGTGTTAAATTACAGTGCTTAATCTGCAGAGCTATCCAGTATATACGTTATGATTACTGTAGGAGGTTATTCTAGCATTGTGGCATGTTTGCTTTTTCATTGTAATGTATACTTTTTTCTTTTTCTCATATCTTCTACAACCACTTTATAAACATTACCAAATATACATGAATAAAAATTAACATTGCACTTTTCTTTGAACCCTATAGGCAAAGAGATGGTAATAAGAACACACTGGACAACTGATAATAACAAGCAACTTTGAAAAGGAAGGAAAATAAAACCACAGAATTCTCCTTCTCCAGCAGCAGATAGACAAAAGAGAGAAAATTAAGAAAAATTTCAAACTGGAATAAATAGATTATGTAGAACTCAAGGATACATTACATGTAAAGTCAAGGGAGAATATTTTTTATACATAAAAAGAGGGAAATATCTGGAACCCAGTGGGGAGGAAAAGGTCAATTGGATAGCCACATAGGGCAGACAGTGATACCAGCCTAGCTCTGGGAGGAAAGAAAAGGCTTTAATCAAAACTGCACTAAAAAAAGGGATCACACATATTTTTGACCTCAAGAATATCAGTGGTGGAAAAGCTCCATAGATGTGCCTATTGTAGGAAAAGCACAGATTGCAAATCATAGCTGATTATGCACGAGCAGTTCCACACAGAATAAAAGCCATAAAAGTGTTCCCAAATACTTTAGTGAGCATGGCAACGCGTTGATACTTCAGAGGACTCACATCAGGTGTGTGTGTCCAGATTGTGTGAAAGTTTCATTGGAAATTCCCCATGAGACAACAGAGGACTCACATAGGAGAGAAGCCCTTTGAATGCCCTATCTGTGGCAAAAGTTTCAGTCACAATTACAGCCTGGTGAACCACCAGAGGACTCACACAGGAGAGAAACCTTTTGAATGTCCTGATTGTGAAAAAAGTTTCAGTCAAAATTCCAATCTGGTGAGACACAAAAGGACTCACACAGGAGAGAAACCCTTTGCATGTGTTGATTGTGGGGAAAGTTTCATTAGAAATTCCCACCTCGTTAGCCACCAGAGAATTCACACAGAAGGGATACCCTTTGAATGTCCTGATTGTGGAAAATGTTTTAGTGAGAATTTTAGCCTGGTTAAACACCAGAGGACTCACACAGGAAAAAAACTCTTTGAATGTTCTGATTGTAGAAAAAGTTTCAGTCGGAGTTCTCAGTTCGTGATACACCAGAGGACTCACACACGAGAGAAACCTTTTGAATGTCCTGATTGTGGTAAAAGTTTCAGTCAAAATTCCAATCTGGTGAGACACAAAAGGACTCACACAGGAGAGAAACCCTTTGCATGTGTTGATTGTGGGGAAAGTTTCATTAGAAATTCCCACCTCGTTAGCCACCAGAGAATTCACACAGAAGGGATACCCTTTGAATGTCCTGATTGTGGAAAATGTTTTAGTGAGAATTTTAGCCTGGTTAAACACCAGAGGACTCACACAGGAAAAAAACTCTTTGAATGTTCTGATTGTAGAAAAAGTTTCAGTCGGAGTTCTCAGTTCGTGATACACCAGAGGACTCACACAGGAGAGAAACCTTTTGAATGTTCTGATTGTGGTAAAAGTTTCAGTCGGAATTATGACCTGGTGATACACCAAAGGACTCACACAGGAGAGAAACCCTTTGAATGTTCTGATTGTGGTAAAAGTTTCAGGAAGAATTCCAACCTAGTGAACCACCAGAAGACTCACACAGGAGAGAAACCCTTTGAATGTTCTGATTGTGGAAAAAGTTTCAGGGAAAGATCCCACCTCGTTGCACACCAGAGAATTCACACAGGAGAGAAACCATTTGAATGTTCTGATTGTGGAAAAAATTTCAGTCAGAGTTACCAGCTTGTGATACACCAGAGGACTCACACAGGAGAGAAACCATACGAGTGTCCAGATTGTGGGAAAGGTTTCAGTACTAGGTCTAACCTTATAAATCATGTGCTTATACACACAGGGGAAAAACCATTTAAATGCCCCGAGTGTGGACAGTGTTTCAGGAAAGATTCTACCCTTATCGGACATAAGAAAATCCACATGAGGCCCACAGTGATGAGTGTAGAGAAGGCTCTATAAAAATCTTTCTGGGAGTGTTCTTTGCATTTTTATCATAATAAATGATAGAAATGCCATATGCAGGGTCCCTGCCTTCTCACTGTGTGTCCTCGAGGTTTTCAGCCCCAGCGTTCCCCAGCCAGCATCTCTTCGGGATAAGAGCACTCAGATTAGTTAAGAGATTGTGGCTCCTCATATATTGAGAAAGCAAGCGAAGAAGCAGATGGGTTTCAAAGTTAATCTTTTCACAACAGTTCCAGGAATTCAGTGCACCAAGCATGTCTCTTCAGATTTTGTCAAGAATGAGGCACGTAAGTTCGGAGAAACCATATGAATAGCAAATATATTGGGGGAATTTGGGGCAGTGACAAAAGCAGTGTAAAATTTCAAATGTAAAGGCTGTTCTCCCTTACAGGTGACCTTCATGCAGAAGAGCTATAGGAATATTGAGGAGAAAAGGGATTGTGGTTTTGAGCACAGGATCTCCAGGTTTATTCGCGACTCCTGCTGTGATCGCCTTTGCTTGGAGGAGCCTCCTTGTTAGCCTTTGATGGCTGGTAGGTGAGAGCAGAACCAAGGGACTGATATTTTGTGGTCCCCCCCCCTTGGTGGAGAGATGTGGGGAAAAATTGTACAATTGAATAATGTTTCATTCCTAAAACAGCACTGCGTAAGAATCATGAATAGCTTCTGAGAAAGAAAACAAAGGAAAGTCATTGGGACAAAGGAAAACATTGGGACACGGTAATGCAAAGCTCTCTTCCCAACACATGGTAGATGTTTGCTATTTTTTTCACTTCTATCCCAGGGTTCCTTAATTTTTTTCAAAAATTTATCCTTCAAATAAAGACAGGAACATTATCTTTAGCAGTGAAAGTGACAGTTTAGCTATGCAGATGGATTATCCTGATTTTGCTGCAATTGGAAGATACCAAAGAATTCCAAGATAGTTTATTTCATCAACACCATTCAAAAAGACAGGTTACAATTTTTTTAGTAGGTCATCCCTTTGAAGGACAGCCAGCAACCTGGATCAGGCAAGGCGTGTGGAGAAACCAATAAACTCTTGGCTTGAGCCTCAAGCTCCAAGTGTCTTTGAATTTAATGTGCAAAATTTCTAACCTTTAAAATATTAAAATTATATTTAATTATTTTTTCTTTTTCTCTTTCCTTGGTGTCATTTTTAGTGGACATGTTTATCATGTCCCGTCTTCTTATGGTTAGGAGTTAGAAACCCTTGCAATGATCCCAAAGCCTCTGAATCTCTTACAGGGCTATATAAAAATATCAAGCAAAATTAAATAAAGCCAATCTAAGAGTCAGAGGGGATGGTCTACAGGGCAAGTTCAAAAGGCATAAGTTCCCAATGAGAGGAACAGTACATTTCCTCAATGAAAGTTTGAAGCTCAGATTGAAAGGCATAGAGTATGTGTTATTTGGAGGATACTGGATCTTGAAAGCTGCAGCTTTGAATTTGGAGCTGGAGTAGCAGGAACAGCTGAATGGATAGATTTTGTGGGAACGAAGAAAGTCCAGTCTGACACTCATTTCCGGTCTTGCTTTAGGCACAAAGCCATCTCAGAGATCTTGGCCTGTCCCATCCTCTCAGGCCTTAGAAAGGTGAAATCCGCTTCCAAAAAACCTTGCCAAGGAAACTGCAGGGAATTTGCAGGATAACTCCCCAAAACCTACTTTTGTAACTGAGCAAACCTTGAAGAGTGAAGCCTGACCTACTTAGGTGCTGTGCCATAAACATTTATGAAGTTCTTGTTTGTGTGCATAGCCGCTAAATGAATTCCAGCTTCGTCTTATTAATAGAATAATGGAACATGGAACAAAAACTGGAAGCATCCACCCTCCTTGCTTCTACACCACATCTAGATACGAAATATTCTTTCTATCTACATTCTTGCAGATCCTTTATCTCACTAGAAAGAGGAATTGCTCAGAGCAACTTTTCTAATCTCCATAGGAAATAGATTTCAGACTTATTCCCAAACGGCTTGAGCAAAAGACTTAGAGGACACTACTGTGTTTCCCCAAAAATAAGACCCGGTCTCATATTTTTGGGGTTTTTTTCATAACATTTTGGTTGAAAACAATAAAATTTATTGTTGTCTTATTCCCCAAAATCGTAAACCTCTGTTTTCAATCCATTTTCCCCAAAGAGTCCAGTCCAAATAGTTTTCCAGTTAGATATGGCAAGTCCATTTCCCAGTGACCACCAACTTCATCACCTCAAATCCTAGTTCCTCACCTATCAAATCTGTTAACTCCAAATCTGTAGAATCCACATCCGCTTCAGCCATCTCCAACCAACCTTCAACCAACCACCTCCAGCAGTTTCCAAACCATGGGGAGGGGGCTTTTAAGAAGTGTTTGTGCTCCTCATGGGAGCTTTTTGGGAAGAGCTCAGGCTCACAAAGGGATTCCTTTGTGTGTGCTCATAATCCCAAATGCCTCCATCAGTCCCAGAGAAAGGGGACCTCCCAGAATAGAAGTGTTTTTTCTCACCACAATCCTTCACATTTGGGTGATTCACCAGCTGGGTACAAGAATTATTTCCTCCCTGTGATGTTTCCAGCAAATGACATTCACTGCACATGGGCTTTTTTTCTGGGTGTAATACAGATAGTCCACTCTTACAATTTGCCTCATTTAGTAACCATTCAAGATTATGATGGTACCAAAAAAAAAAAAAAAAGCTTTGCAAACAATCATTGTATTTAAACCATTCAGTTATCCCAAAATCATGTGTTAGCCATTAGCATGCTTCCCAACCAGCAAAGCAAAGTTCATGGAGAAGGCAGAAATAAAATCACTAGCAGTCAGGTGAGATCTCACTTAATGTCCACAGTGATTCATTTAACGTCCATAGGCAAAGTGAGGTCAAAAGCCTGTTGCAATCAAGTGTTTTTTCACTTAGCAGTCATGAGACTTAGCAACAGAATTGCCAGTCATAATTGTCACTAAGTGAGGACTCCCCATGTTCATTTATCACAATCCTGCAGGCTTCTTCCTGCAGTTGATAGGGATGAGGTCAATGTGCAGTAGGGCGTCTCTCTTGCATTGCTTTCCTATTAAACAGCTACTGTCAGACCTGCCCCAGTTAGATCCCTTAGGGAAGAAAGACCCTTGACTCTTAGAGTTCAAAGAACTCTGGATTAAAAGCGTCCCAAAGGGCAATTAAATGCTGTTTTCCAATCATCACCCTCTTTAATTCTGACTCGGTAATATCCTTCTTATAGTCCAGTTTGATAAAAATATTCTCTTTTGCCAGGTATGCTAGCACAGGGCTGTGTTTTTTTCTCCAAGATGGCGCCGCCAACAGCTGCCGTGGTGAAATGCTCTCTTAGTGGTTTCTTTATTTTTTATTATTGTCTGTGATTCTCTACAATTTTCATACTCACGAGACCATCTGCTAAGAATTAAGCAATGTTTTTTTAAGGAGCAGCTTTCTGTAACCTCACCCCCCCCCTTTACAAACTTGGAGGAGATTCTAACACAGGAAGAAGCAAATTCCCCAGAGCTATGGATCACCAACAGCAAACACAGGAGACGCCGACGCCAACGAGGTAAAAGAGTGGGAATTTTGAATAGACTAAGGAATAAAAAGGGGGAATAAAAAAATCCCGCTCCCTTCAATCTTTCTGACTACGTTCACTTGCTAATAAGATGGATGAAAAACTCCTTTTAAACAGCTGCAATTCTGATTTTTACAATGCAGCAGCCCTATACTTTATTGACACCTGGCTAAATGAGGAAATTGATGATAAGAGCATGCATATACCAGGGTTTCAGATACTAAGAGCAGACAGAATTGCAGAATAATCAGGTAAAAAGAAGGGAGGAGGCTTATGTATTTATATCAAGAACAGCTGGTCTCAGGATATAACTATAATACATAAATTCTGTGATGAAAACTTAGTCTTTACTGTAAACCATTTTATTCTCCATGAGAGTTTTCCTCATTTCTTCTAATTGCTGTGTATATTACTCCACAGCATTCTCCATAATGCTGTGTAAACAAGGCATTCCGAATTCTAGCTGACCAGATTATGGAGGCTGAAGCCAAATACCCAGATTCAGTGGCCATTATACTAGGTCCATGATGGCGAATCTATGGCACATGTGCCACAGGTGGCACACACAGCCCTCTCTGTGGCACACAAGCGTTGCCCCAGTCAGCTCCACCGCGTATGTCCACGCGTCTCCCGCTGGCCAGCTGATTTTTGGGTCTCTGCTGTGCATGCGCAGGGGTGGGGTGCGTGCAGGAGATGTGCGCATGTGGACAGGGGTCGCATGGGGGGTCATGCATCTATGTGTGGGTGGGCAGGACACGTGCGGAGGGGCTGTACACGCATTGCATTATGGGTTATAAGTGCAGGAATGCCTACTAGGCCCAAAACGGATGCAGGGGGTTGCGGTGCAGCCCCCACGTGGCCTGTTTTTGCTCCCAGGAGGCTGCAGGAAGGTCTACTAGGCCTAAAACGGGGCACGGGGTATGTGGCATGGCCCCTCCACAGCCTGATTTTGCTCCCAGGAAGCTGCAGGGAGACCTACTAGGCCCAAAACGGTGCGGGGGGAGCATGAGGGAGTTGCATGTGCATGCAGGGGGAGCGCGGGGGGAACGTGCATGCATGCGCAGGGGGTGGGGTGCGTAGGGTGAGTCACGCGTGCATTGTGGCCTCGAAACAAAATGGGTGATAAACAAATCTTATAAATAAATATGAGACAAAGCACCAATGTTCCGAGTCACATCTTTTCCAATAATGCTACCAGATATTACATGGATTCCATCAATGTCATTAGGAAAAATATGGTGAATGACTGCTGCCTAGAGCTTTGTGTATGAGACATGTTACAAGAAAAAAAACTAAAGTTTATGGGAGACTAGAGATTTGAAAAGATTACCTCACTACTTTTTCTTCTGGTAAATGTGTTTTGTGGTAGATTATTTATTTATTTATTTATTTATTTATTTATTTATTTATTTATTTATTATTTATTAAATTTATATCCCGCCCTTCTTCCTGAAGGGACTCAGGGCAGTGAACAGCCGAGAATTAAAATAACATACAATATAAAAGTTAAAATAATTAAAAATAAATTAAATTAAACGGCCGCCCCAATTTGAAACCCGTAGCAATACAATTAAAAAACCCCTAAAACCTATTCAGGCCATTTAATACTTTTGTTTATTAAAATGAAATTGAAAAAAACAAATACATCACAAGACCAAATCATATGGGTTGAAGAACCCTTAAAATTTTTGTATGTCCACAAATGAAATCAGATATCCATATATTCAAATACTTTCTTTGGAAAAGGTCATATACTTGAAATAGAATTTTGATGGATCAGTTTTAATCTCAGATCTGTTGATCTCAAATTAAATTATTATTTTAAGGGTTATTTCAAGTTTTCTTTCTCACTCCTCTTTCCCAGCACTGTGTAATCTTTTTTTGCAAATCATTGGCAGACTCATTCCTTCCTCTTCTGAAGATTAGCTGTAAGGTCCATGAAGGAGAATGACAAGGTTGATAGGAGAATTTGAAACCAAATCTTGGGAACAGCAGTTGAAAAAAGTCTTGAGAAAGGGCACAGATGGGAGATAGGATAGAACTTTTCGAACAGCCGATGAAATGCCATACAAAATCTATTCTCTATCATTACGACACAGCCATTACGAAAACTGTATGTCTGTTATGGATCCACCCCTGGATTCCTCACCAGTTGTGAGATGAGGAAGGTGAATTTGAATCTGGAGAGGAAAGCATGGAGCTAAGTATTGATCAGGATCGAGGTTCAGAAAATACTAGCCTGATAGAGCAGCCTCAGATGGGTTGAATGGACTAACCACAGGCTGAGGCTAAGGGGGGGGGGTGAGCCACAGCTTCAGCAAATTGGCCTGGAAGGCTCCAGATGAGGACTGTGAGAAGCTGCCATCCGTTAGCAGCAAGGAGGAGGTGGAATCCACATCTCCTCCTGATCCAAGGACACATAGAGCAGAGAGGAGGCAGGCACAATGCTAGATTACTCATGAGGAGGCAACCTCACCTGTCATGAATTACCTGAGGAGTGTTGCTGGGCAACATATCCAGTTCTGCCTTCTGTGCTTGTGCCTTGTATGCTGGCTTCTTTGACTCCTGG